ATCAGAAGGGATAGAAGCTGCTTGGAGGATTTTCAACTGTAAAGCGGGAAAGAGAGACGATGGAGGGGGAAAAGAGGAAGGGGCGTGTGTGATAGTTGGAGAAGGTTGACAGGCTGGAGAAGTTCAAAGACGCAGGACTTAAAGACGCATCATCAGCTTTCAACCCTTCAGTCAACATGCCACTCACATCAACCCCCTCTCTCCAAACCCCTCCTTGCTTCCCCTCCTCTTTCTCTCCTTTATTGCTTTCAGTCTTCCAGCCCTATTTCTGTTTTCCCTCCCTCGATTTTCCTTGCAGTTTGTCAGCGATCACTCTCTCTCTCTTTTCCATCCCCTCCTCCTGCTTCTCCTCTGCAAACACAGAGATGCAGCCCTGTCTGGCGTGCGTGCGTGTGCGTGCATGTGTGTGTGTGAGAGAGAGAGAGAGAGAGGGGAGGTGAGTGACGATGGCTGATGAGCCTTTATCTTGTTTCAGTGGTTATTTGATTTTCCCTGAGTAGAGAAGGTGGGCAGGGGAGGAGGAGGGAAAAGAAAAGGTGCAAGATGAGAGAAGATGCGACAGAAAAGGAGAGGGCGAGGGAAATAAGGCGTGGCTCTGTCTGTGTGACCAGTAAGGTCTTTTTAAAATTCAATAATTCATGTTTGTTTGAACCAAACTGAGTGGCTCATATTGAGTTTGTAATAGAAGGATAGTATTAACTCTTCTTATCAATAAATCAATTACTTATTTGTTCTGTAAAATGTTAGAAAATTAAATTTCCTAATTGCCTAAACTGACACCTTAAAATTGTGTGTTTTGTGTGACCAACAGTTCAGTTTACTACCATAAAGCAGTGATTCCCTGCCTATGGGTGGAAGGGTAAATCAGAGGGGTCGTGAGATGATTAATGAGGCAGGAAAGAACAAAAAGCACAGTTCGGCAACACATATTTAAATACTTTTTCCCTGGTCTTTGCTTTGTTTGCAAAATGTTGGCGAAGATTTGTTCAAATGACACAATCTGAGAAGTAAAGAGGTGAAAACTCAAAGACTTTCACACTTGTAACAAGAGGTCACAAGTAGACAGTGATTTATTTATTTCATGATTTATTAGGTCACAAGCCAAAAAAGGTTGAGAGACATTTTTACAGATGACAAAGGAATACGGCAAATCTTCACATTTGAGAGTAACTTTGATGCTTTTCTTCAAGTTTCTTCAAGTTTCTGCCAGTCGATTAACCAATCAATCGACTAATTGTTTTAGCGCTGTTTGACTCAAAGTGTTGGTCCGATGCCCAGTCTGCGGCTTAGTATTTACCTCATACACACGTTATATTAAATGACCTCTATAAGAGTGTATCATCGTGTCAGCCGCACTGCTCTCGGTTACTGTTAATGCTGACAAGAAGAAGAAATTCACTCACAGCCAGTATGTCCTCTTTATAATGTTACAGTCTGTTGCTGGCTTTAAGTGGCTTTTTCTTGTTTATTAAGTATTCTGCTGAGGCCTTTCTTTTATGGGGCACATGCTGCGTCGATGTGTGGAATTATTAAAAAGACAGTTTTAGCATGTTGAGGTTCTTGGTGGTTTTCTGCATTTCCTTTTGTTTGATTCCTGTTCACTGCTGACTTTTTTCACAACTGATTTAAAAAGATATAATTGAATTTTCTGTTTTTTAACATTGTTTTGCAAGCTAGATATTCAGAAACAGACTCCCACTGAAGATGAGACTGCCACATTGAGATCAGGCTTCTTTTTATTTACTGTTTAACTAACATTTGTAGAACTGTCTTGTTCTGTGCGTCTGTTCACTTGAATTTTTTGATACCGTTTGAATTTTTAAGCAGGAACACTCATCTGGATTCTTACTGTATTCTTGAATGTGCATTTAATATTAAACCATTCAACAGAAATTCTTTCAACAGTAAATCTTAATAGCCATAAGAGTTGTATGCAATTTAGCTAAATGCGCCTGTCAGCCTCTCACAGTCACTGATTGAATTAGAACGAGCTGGAGCTGGGTTTTTTTTATGCCATTAAAGTGTGAAAGCCATTAAATGAGCTCAACAGGTCGTTTCAAACGGGGTTTAATTGTTGTGCATTCATGCAAAAACTGTCAAAATTAGCAACAGGTGAAGTCGTACTGGAATTGTTCATGGACATAAAGTGTGCACAGATCAGGTTCCTCCTTAACATACTCCAACATAGATGACATGCACGGCAGAAACAAACTGCCAGTCATTGTAGGTGGAACAAACTACTACATTGAGTCTCTGCTGTGGAAAGTCCTGCTGGATACTGGGGTGAGCGAGTACAACTCAAATACACCTCCCTTCATCCTCTGTGCCTCTCTGACACTGTTTATCTTGCATTTCTTATTTATCTTCACCCACTTTTATGCATGCGAAAACAAGCACCCTGTTAGGCCACAGCATGCGGCCTTCAGTGCTTTGTGATTTAAAAAAAAATATGTGTGAATGGTTTCATTTCTCGGTTGCCAAGGCATGACTTTTAAGGGTTGTGTCTTTAAGCTGCGTGATTATTGAATGGAAACATGAATAAAAAGTGCCTGTTTTATTTCTGTTCTTATTACACATTAAATCTGACCTGAAACTGATATTAATTACAGGACTTATAAATATCTTACGGATTTGAAATTTGTACTTTAAGAAGAGGTTTATTTGGTTGTCTCTCACAGCAGAAGAACGAGGAGTCAGGGGACGGAGGCGATGGGGCCCAAAAAAGGGAGTTGAAGCTGAAGAAACTAGATGGAGCTGAGTTACATAAACGACTGGTGGAGGTGGACCCTGAAATGGCTGCCATGTTGCACCCCAATGACAAACGCAAGCTAGTCAGGTGATACAGCTGCTCATGTCTTCATCTGTGTATGTTTCACACTGGATATCTAGTAAAAAATGAATCAGTTTTGTGACATAGCTCTAAAATTAAACTCATCACCTGCAGCAAATACTGTAGTTTCTCTTTAGTCATCTGATTAGAAACTCAGTTAAATGAATGTAATGTAATGTTAGTTAGTGATAAATATTTAAAAACTAACGCTTTTATCCAAATTGACTTACAATGAGTGCATTAAACCATGCAGCTACAACCCAAAAATTGCGAGAATAATACAAGTACAACTTCATCATATATTGCTACCTTTATAACAGTAAGAAAGAACATATCTTTTACTTGTACTTTACTTGTAACTTGTATTAAAACAGCCCAAGCATGTTTTGGAAAAGTTACCGACATGAAATAATGGCCATTATTGATTTATCTTTAGTTACTATTCAAGAATTGATAATAAGCCTTTGCTGCGACACTGTTATTGGTCCGTGTTAGCCATGTTTTGGCTTGCTACTTTGTCGCTCTTGCTAGCTGGTTAGATAGCTAATAGCAAAAGAAAAACTACAATAACATTAGTGGAAAATGCAGCTGGGGATTTTTCAGTCCCTCAAAATACATTGTGGTTTTTCAGTCCCTTAAAATACATTGTGGTTTTTCAGTCCCTTAAAATACTTTGTGGTTTTTCAGTCCCTTTAAATACATTGTGGTGCCTAATGAATAACAAAAAAGTGCAAGGGTTAGCTGCTAGCCAAAGCTATCCAAGTGCCCGCTAGCGCTGTGGCAAATTAATGTCTTCATGTTTGTCCTAGTTCTTGGTTTGTTTCTTTCTTTCCTGCTGCTCGATGTGATTGAGCACAACCTTGCAGATCTTAAATTCACTTTATAATGCAATTAAAATAACAAGTTTGGATTTGTAACTAAATAAATTGTCCCTCCCAACATCCAAACACACCAATGTAACAGTGAGAGCCGCCACCAACTGTGTTATAGCCAAACAAAAAACTAATTTTGCCCAGATTAAAACATGTATATTGGCTTATACATATAATATTTGGAATAATGTGGGGTATATTGTTTGTGGGTGGCTCCCAATATTTTCTAGTTTCCTCATGTTTTGTATGAGGTCCTGAAGGGCTCCTGCTCTGTCTCAGGTTGACAGTCACAGTATGTGGCCTCCACCCAATCTACGCTGACAGGACCAGTGTCTGTTTACATACACACCACACACACATACACACGCACACGCACACGCACACACACACACAAACACACACAGCTTGATGAGTAGCAGTCAGTGCACTCTGGTCTTTTGTGTTAGCAGGTTAGGTTACCCTGCTCTTCTGGATGACAGGAGACGACAGGAATCATATTTTCTTCATAACCTCAGACTGCAGTGAGGCACGGCTAAAGAGTCTGGTTCAGATTTGAATCTCAACACCTTAAATCTCTGTTTAACCCTGGCTGAATGTTAACTGTGTGCTGGTGAGAAAAAGTGTGATTTCATACAGTTTTGTATCTCGTTTCATGATTTACATTCCTCCTTGTTTTTACTCCTGTCTTGTCTTTTGAATTAATTGTTGCTGGTGTGTTAATCATTTCGACTACACTCAAACTCTAACTGAATTTCTGCCTCAGAAGGGGGGTTTGAGACCTTCATTTACATTGGATTTAAAGGATGAGTGGATGGTTGACTCATCTAATCTCAGTTTCCCCCCCGAGGCCTGACATACAGGGACTGGGATGTAAACTCATAGTGTAGTGGAGCAGTTTGAACTAAACTGAAAAAAATCAGAAAATGATTTGTTGGTAGTGTGAAAAACACGTGTTTTATTTAACCACAATGCATCTGCCTGTTTGTTGTCTCCAGGAGTCTTCAAGTCCATGAGCAGACAGGCGTCCCCCATAGCCGCTGGCTGGAGGAGCAGAGGGGCCAGGAGGGAGGCAACGGGCTGGGGGGGCCGCTGAGGTACCCAGACCCATGCATCTTCTGGCTGCAAGCCGACATGGACGGTACGGAGGGAGCATTGTATGGATTTTCATTTGGCTGTTATTGCTATTTATCAAAACAACGGAACTGGACATGTTGATATGGGAGCTTCAGTGCTGGCACGAAATAACTGTTTACATGCGTCCGTCTTATTTTGCTGATACAATTGTTCTATTTCTCCCTCTCTGTTCCCCTCCAGCTCTCGACAGGCGGTTGGATGCTCGTGTAGATGAGATGTTGTCTGCTGGACTGATAGAGGAGCTCAGAGACTTCCATGTGCGCTACAATCAGCAGAGAGTCCAGGATGACAGGTAGCAAAATAAGCAGCAAAACACATGCACCCTCTTGAAGGAACACAATCAACCAGATCCTGTTCATCCTGAATTAACTTCCTTTTTTGCTTTGGCGTTTTTTGCAGAAATTGAGGTGTGTTATGCTAGTAGCGCTAATATAGCCTCAAGTCATTAGCCTCAAACAGAGATGAGGGCTACAGAGGTCTGTTAAGCTCTACACACTACACACCTCCAGATTGTTTTTCATTCTCAAGCATCTTCAACTGATGCTGAATCAAGTGACATCGCTTGAGGCAATTTATCAGACTATGCACAGCTCTCTCTGGAGCCACAAAAGATTGTTTCACATCTGGATCAGTAAACAGACTTTGATGTGTAAAATCAGCACATTTCCCCTTTAAGATAAGATAAGATAAGATGTACCTTTATTGATCCCCCGCAGGAAACATTTTATTTGACACAGCAGCACAAGGGAATGTAGTTCGAGAATAAAATGCAATAAGATAAAATCATAATAATATTTACAATAAATAGATCTGTGTGTACAACACCCATGGGAAATGATGGGTTATCCTCCCTTCACAAAGCAAAGACATGCTGGCTACATGTGGCTTGTGTTCCTAGCACTTCTTTTTATTTTTAATGCAAAATCAACTAAACTCCACCTAAAAGATACAGAGGTGAATAATGAATCTTTTGTGGGCCAAAAACATATGTCATACTTGGCTTTGGCCCTGTCGTCACTGCTATTGAACACAACAAGGTCGGTCTGAGGGTGCAGTGTCTGTGTAACAAGTTCAAAAGCACATTCTCACCCTACTATCTAAATTAATGATCCAGACATTCAGTCTGGATCAAGACTGAAGCCCTCTCTTCCATGTAACCAGGGCAATAAGAGTGAAGTGAACTCGGTCAAGCAGTTATTTATTCCCATTTCCTTGTCTTGACAGGTCACTCTGTTCTGTACACTGTTGTTTCCCAACGGCCTAGAGACCAATTTAGATACAGCCCACACTGTTGCGAGTTTAGTTCAGATGGGACTGATATTTCTTTACAATGTCCAGTGATTATTAATAATTGCAGAGATAAGCCCCCTCTGTAGGACATTAGCACTACCAGGGGAGTCTGGTGATTGGTGCTCATTACCTCAGGGCCTCAGGAATTTTATCCCACACTGAATAGACATCCTGGTGGCCCTGGAACAAATTACTTACAGTGCTATGTTGTCTGTAAAGATGCTATTTGAAGATAATGTTAATGTGTTCAAGACTAATATATTGTCTTTCTTAAAATTACCAAGTTGTCCCTGACATTTCCTTAACAGTAACCACATGACCGGTAGCATACTGGAGCAATGTCACGCTGTCAGTGGTATGGATCCACTGTTTCCTGTTCTCTGAGTCATGTCTCTGGGTTACCATGATGCATAAAATTGAGCAGTTTTTTGGGTTAATAATTACAACTACAGGACCAAATCTACAGTGATTTCTGTGTGCAACATGAAATGTGTATAAACGTGTATGTGGCCTTCACTAATAGTTGAAACAGATATGTGAACACGGCTGTTGGGCCTCTGTTGGCAGCAGATATTGATATTGTAAGTGTGTGACGGGGTGTGGCTGCGGGGGAGTTGATGCATTGGTGGAACGATGCCCAGGAAGCTGCCAATTCCCTTCTTCCGTCCCTCCTTTCTTTCATCACCCCATCACCCCATCCCACCTCATCAACCAGCAGCCTCCTCCTCCTCTCTCTCTCTC